TCCAGTCTCAGCAGTTCATCCTTTCCACTTGTGGTCTCCTTCTGGTGTTTGCTTATACCAGTGTTATGAGGCTTTCTTAGCTTCTTCTGATGCTACTAGCCATTTCCCCCAAATCTTTCATTTCTTAGTTTCAGTCTGTTGCTACACAATCCATTGTGTAAACTTAATTCTTGGTACCAGCAAGGGGTCATAAATGAAGTAGCAATCATTTAACTTATCACTGGCATACAGTCTTGTTTGGAATTACAGTCAGGCTCGTGTATAGGACGCTAGTTAGAACCCACGCAATGTACTGCATATAAAGGACTTTTGGTTGTTGTGGAGGTTTTGTGATTTTCTTTCCTGCTCACTTCCTCTGTCCCTGCATTCTGAGCCAGCTTTCTGCCCCTACATGTAGATTAATAATTTGTGTTTTGTTTTACTTTTCCAAAAGACATTGCTGGTCAGACATTTCAGTGTTAAATTAGGTTTTGGCATGTATGACACCAACAGTCTAGAGAGGAAAACCAAGAATAGTGCAGCATGCATTTCAAAGGAATTATTTTTATGGGGAACATGCTGTCAGAACCACTGTGACCATACAGTGCACTGCAGACTGTAATCCTTTCTTACCTTTTTAACTTCTCTGGTTTTCAGCAAGTGCCAATCAGGGAATTGTTTTTAGATGCAGTTCTTTCCTGCAGCAACTCTGCTGGGAAAGAACTTGTTCATCTGTGTAGGAGCGGGTATAAATGGAAAAGAAATTCTGGACCATTTCACTGAGTGGTTGTCATCTGAAGAACACATGTAAGTACAGGGCTTGTTTTAGGGGCTTAGGCCATACCTTCACATGAAAATTCATGCTTTGAAAAGAAAAGCATTTGGCTTTGTGGTTTAAGTGCAAATCCATACAAAAAGATTGTTGCTGTGATCTGTTGGAGTGAAACTTTGATTCCTGACACAGCAGATCTTTGATGTGCTGGCAATACCAGTAATTAGAGATGGAAATGCATTAATTTCACTCTTCTGAATTATGAATGAAGAAATGTACCTTCTAGCTCATCAACTACTGGCAGGGCCATTTTAAAAAGAGAGAATGTATGCTTTCCAAGTTTCAGGTTAGCACAGCAACTAGTGCCTCATCCTACATAATGGATTAAATGTTGATCAGTGAGACAAGCATTGCCCTTGGGAAAGGAAGATGTCATAGATGTCATCATTTATATGTGAAAGAGGGAAACTGGCTTTAGCATAGTCTTCTGTAGGAGAGGAGCACAGGCCAGACCAGATTGATTCTAAAGCTCGTTCTTCAGGAACACAGTTCTGTTGTAACTTGCACGTTCAATTTAGGGAAGACAAAACCCAAAATACACAGCTGACAAGCAGCTCTTTTTTCTTTTTTCTTTTTTCTTTTTTCTTTTTTTAGATGAAACTGCCTGAAAGTTTTAATCCCATATGTGAGGCAGACAGATGTTCCAGGGGGCTGAGTAGGGGGCTGTCGAGATTGCTGGGTGGAAGACACACCAGCACTGTGCAACACCAGCTCTTCTCCATTAGGAAGAGCCAATGCTCAAAGATAATAATTTTAAAAATATGCCTGTCAGTTCAATAAATATAGATGTGTCTGCTTCGTTCTTCTGGGCTAGGGTCTTAATTCCTCTGGGATTTGCTGTCTGGTAGCAAGATAGAACATCAAGAGATTGATCATGCTTAAGTATGTATGTTGCTCTATTAATAAGCTGATTTTATTATCTTCTTTTGCCTGCAAATAATAATGTCCTTTATAGGTAAGTTAATTTTGTTGTAATTTAGGATCAGTGTTGGTAGAGTCTGTGTTGTTTTTTTCGTGGCACACTGAATCAAGAACAGAAGAAAAGCAGAGCTCTCAAGCAGTACCAGAACAGCAGTTACCAGCAAATGGCCATTTGTTCTTCAGTCTGCTTGGGCAGCCAGCACCCTGGGATCGTGATATCACACTTGATTCCAGACTCCTACATACAAGTTTTCTTACCCAAGGCGGAAAAAAATTAAGCGTTTGTTTGATTTTATGGGTAAAAAGTGTTAGTTTTACTTGTGTCAGATTTCAAAGGGATTTCCCTCAAGTCATGATGATGGTTTAACTTCAGAGATTGACCCAGGAGGTGCAGTTTTCAGACTTGGCTCAGTCACCGTGCAAAGCTTATTGGCTACAGTAAGATGGAGTTTCTCTAAACATAGCTGCAGGGAGAGACTGTTCAATTTTCTTATCTCATTTTCAGCCATTTGAAAGTGCTGTCATCTTTGTAGGAGACAGAACTTCTTGATGGTCTGCTTGTTTGCCATTCAGTGGTCTTAGGAGCTTCATAAACATTCAGCAGTGGAGACTTTATGTGACTTTATGAGACTTATTGAGACTTTAAAAATGATGCTGACTTGTAACCTAGATACCTTAGAGTTAAAAAAAAGAAAAAAGTAAACAGTGAATTCAGGTGCTCTGCTGAATCGTACAGAGAAAAAAAATATATTATTATTTTTTTTTTCTTTAATTTTGGTTATTGGAATGACCATAGTTACAGATTTTAAAATAGCCTTTTCCCATCCCTTCTTGCTCTAGAGAAAACAGATGGAAAGTAAGCAAGGTAAGGATCAGGGAGGAATGTGTGTAGTCAGTCTTGAGAGACTGGTTGGAGACTAATAAAGCCAGGTTCTTGAGGCTTGGTCTGGGAAATTATACTGGGGCTTTCAAGTTACACAGTGCAGCATCCACTTGCTCCCTGTCCCAGTTGCGTGCACCCTGCACATGGAGGCACAGCTACAGAATCTTCAGATCCTTCTGTTTTCTGGCCTCAGTTGCCTCAAGAAAGGTTGCAAGAAGGTACTCCCCTGGTGATGCAGGGAAACTCGCTCCCTGTCTCTCACAAATCTGAGCACAAATTGCTCTTTCAAAATGCATAGCAACAAGAATTGGTGAGAAGTGTTTTTATTTACTAGCACACTTGGCCCACAGAATAGACCTCCAGCTCCTTCCTGCCGGATTTACAGCCTCCTATTTCCTTTCTGCTTTTCTGACGCATGCTGCATCAGCATGGCAATTTGGTGGGCAGCCTGGTCTTGTTAATGTATTTAAGACTGGTCTTGAAAGCTCCTCTTGGGTTGATCCACTTAGGGGGAAGTGTGGAGCAGTGCTTAATTTCTTGGCTCTGATAAGACCCAAGGTTAATGCTGACTTGCTAAGTCTTGCTGGTAGTTCTGTGATATTTCAGCCGCCGTTAGGATCAAGGCAAGCTTTAAAGAAGAGATGTTGGAGACTGGAGAGTTCAGATTCAGGAAAGTGGGTATTTTCTCTTCTGGCTTTGGCAGCTAGTTGTGCTCAGTTCCCAAACAGTGTGTCTGAGTACACAAGCAGACCTTGGCGGGCCGATCAGAGTATCAGATCCTTAGGCTTATTACAAGAAATCCTGTCTTCTTGTCACTGGAAGAGTGCACACTTCTTTCCCTTGCAAAATGGTGATTGTGTGTTCATAGTGCATCTTCTCCTGCCCCCACTGCAGGCTGAAGCCTGTGTAACTTCATGAATATTGTGAGTGGAGGCACATTAATTGAGCACGCAAACATGTAATTATCCATACAATTAGCCAATTGATTTCTTCTTTTTTCAGCTTTGCTTACAAATATGGGAGCACAATTATTTAGTTATCTGAACTTATCTGAAGCCAGAAACTTAATTAACATACAAAACATACAGAAGTAAACGCTGTTAAAAAGATAGATCTACTTGTGGTACCCACCTCTTTCCTTTTGGTGTGTGATTCGCTAAATCTGAATATTTTCACCTAAGACTGTCATATGGTTTCTGCCTCACCTCTGTCCTTTATACTGCTGCATATGTGGCATGTTTCCTTGTAGAAATGGCACTCTCTGTAGAAATTGTTCAGAGGTTGCAATTAACCCATGTGCTGGCTTTGGTTGGGAAGAAGCTGTACCTTGTGCTTGCTATCAGATCAGTGCTACAATGTTTTTAAACCTGTTCCATTCCCATGAAATGGGGAATGCCTACTAGCCTTGTAGGAAAGCCTACTGAAGTAATGGGGTTGCTGACAGTTGCTGTGTGCTGCAACTTCTGGAAAGTAACAATGGCCTTTAAAATTGTCTGTAATGGTGCACTTGAAGTTTTACTGCACTTGGAGTTTTCTGTGCTGGGAAGCTGCCTCTTTGTGGAGAATGAGGGATCTGGCAGTTTTTACCTTGCAACTCTTGTCTTTTGCAGTGAACAAAACCCAAAATTGTTCATGCTTGATGTCTGCAGCACTTGTCCTTGTAGTTTGTCCTGTTACGTGTCATTAAATGCTAAATTCAGTTGTTTTGAGTTGGCTTTAAAAGAAGCATGTGGAAAGGCAGTTTCAATAACAGGCAGTTTCAGTAAGGTATGAAGCTTCTGAATTGTGACCATAGTTGTCTACATGTGAATCCCGACCTTCATCCAGCTGGCCAAACATAGTTTGCTGCTACTCAGTTCAGTTTGACCTTGTTCCCAGTGGTAGCTCCGAGATCTGACACAGGTTGACAGACTCAGCAAGTGAGTGTATGAGAATAGAGACGTGAGGAGCACGGTACAGGTTTAAGTGCAAAGTGATAGCTGAGTCTGATTCTTTCTTGTTCTGCAACTTCCTAGACCAGCAGCAGCTCTGGGGACATCGTCAGGGTGCAGTTTGTGTGTGTCAGAGTAGATCAGGCTGGGGCTGGCTCCTTCACAGCCCGAAATAGACAGCGGTGCCTGACATAGGAAGAGTGCAGCTGTGCTCTGTGCCAGCAGGCAGAAGCTGCAGATTTTGCCTCCTAGGCTCAGGGTAGGGTTGTAAATAAAGCCTCTGGGGCTGGGCTAGCAGCATCTGTATTGTAGACTGCTGTGCAAGTTTAGGCTCTGTAGTGTCAATTTAAAACAACTGAATTTGCTGGAAATGTTGAGTTTATATTCCCTTCCCTACTCTGATGCTGTTTATTCTACTGTGAACAACAACCACCTTCTCTCTATTCCTGTGCAGATGTCGCTCCTATGAGGACTGCTGTGGTTCAAGATGCTGTGTAAGAGCCCTCTCTATCCAGCGACTATGGTATTTTTGGTAGGCCGCAACTAAATTCCGAATTGTAATGTTTCCAGTGTCCTGTTCTTGTCTTACTTGTAGGATCAGAATCAGGGTATCGCCAGCCCTAGTGATGTAAAGTAAAAAAGATACAAGTGTGCAGTAATGTGCACGCATAAATGAAAGGGCTCCTTTTTTTCAGTTATAATCAGTTATAACATGATTTTGTAATACCTTAAGCAGTAAAAAAAATTTTTCTGATGAGTAGAGGAAACACTGGAAAAGGAGGATACTTGTTTCAGGTTGGCTGTTCGCATTTCTGCATCCCGTTGGTCTACACAGCCAGTGGTCTCACATTTATCCTTACACCCATCCCAGCTACTTCCAGATGGCAGCATTTGTCCATTTTTGTTGGGCACTAAATTTAAATTTTTTTTAAAGAAGATTGCATAAGGAGAGTTGTACATTCATACAGGGTTTAAGACAGTCTCCGTGCTTCATGTCTTGAACATGTCATGACAGTTCTCTGTATTGAGGCTTCAGTTAAAATGAGAATGTCACTGGAGGTGACAAGGGAGAAGAAGGCAGAAAAGTTTAAGCTTGTGAAACCAGCAGCTCAGTAATGTGGATAAACCTTAAACGAATAACTTCTATATGCATAACAAAAAAATAAGGTAAATTCTTTTAGAGAGGAACTTTTTAAAGCGCTTGAATAAAACCTTCCCATTACAGTAGAGACGAAGCAAAAGATCTCCTAGAAAACCTGATTTTAGGCATTTTTTTTATGTAGAATTTGAAGACTGCTTTAAAAAAATCCTTAAAAATTGAAATGAGTAACCACTGAAAAACAGGAGCCTTATATAATATAGCGATCTCCCAAAGCTGGCAGTGGGATTTCAGAGTACAACACTTATGGATATAACTGAGGAGTTCTGTATCTGCATCCATAGAGTAAAATTGTGAATTTGCTTTCCTATTCAGAACAAATCCTTTGCAGGAACACTGCCAAAAAGAAATGTATTAATTTTGGCTCAGGGAAATAGTTCCTCATTCTGCTCTTGTGTCCACTGCAGAAAGAAGAACAAAATTTGATCTTGCTATAAAATGTATCTTAGTGTTGTTCAGTGCCATGGCTCCTCTCAGGCACCTGGGAGTGCTCTGGAGGAGATAAGCATGGTGTGTAGGCTTGCCTCTGGCCAACTTAAGGAGGAAAAAAGAATAATAAAATCCATTTCTTGCATCCAATCCTTCCAAAAGTGCACAGTTATCATAGCCTCCCTAGCTTCAAGGCCACAGTCACTATGATGTCTGATAAGTACTCAGATTCAGAAAAAGTCTGTTCAAAGACGAAGATCTCCTGATGCAGGGCATCTGAGCTGGGCAATCATCAGGAGGGGTTAGTCAGGTTGGAAAAGAAGCAGACAAGAACAGAAGCAAAATGATGGCCTTTTCCTTAAAAATATATATCTTGGCTAGGAAGTACAAAGCAAAATATGACATGGCTGTGATTCTGTCATTTTCACTGTTGAATGCTTCTGCTTGAGCTTAATTTTGACTCCATGGGAGTCAAAATTACAGTTTTACTCATTTAAGAGCATAGAATCATAGAATCCTTAGAGTTGGAAGGGACTCTTAAAGGTAATCTAATCCTGCTCCCCTGCAGTGAACAGAGACATCTACAACTGGATCAGGCCGCTCAGAGCATCTTCCAGCCTGGCCTTGGATGTCTCCAGGGATGGGGCATTCACCACATCTCTGGGCAGCCTGTTTCAGTGCCACACTTACACCTAAGTCTAACGCACTCTTCTTTTATGGGCAGAATTAGCATTCCTCTTTGTACAGCCAGTCCCCCTAAAATCTACTGACTAGCTTAGGTGCTCTAAGAGCTAGACTTGGGTCTAGGGTATGCAGCTTGAAACTGTATGGGCCTAGCATTTCAGTTTCACAATCCAGTGTCATAAGTCAGATAAGAATCTGAACTTTCCAAAAGTTCAAGGCACTTCAGTTTCGGATTTGTGTTTTATATGCCAGTAAATATTCAACAATAATACAAATCACAAGAAATGTCCACAGTATGTACATAAGCAACTCAAGTTATAGCTATCTCAAATGACATAGACAACCCATCCAACCTTAATGATTCTGTGATTCTGTGATTTAAGAAACCCTGATAAAAGTCATAGATTATTGGCTGATAGATGGTACTCTGTTGTTGAACAGTCTCAGTTTGAGAGCTCCCTGAATGCAGGTGGGTTTTGATCTCCTTCTTCTCCTTGCCTAGGTTCCTTTTGATGATGGGAGTTTTGTTCTGTTGTGGAGCTGGCTTCTTTATCCGAAGACGGATGTACCCTCCTCCACTTGTAGAAGAACCTACTTTTAATGTGTCTTACACCAGACAACCAGTCAACACTGCATCAGGTCAGAAAACGTTCATCAAACAAATTTCACTTATTTCTTACATTTGCCAAGGTATTGAAAAAGCATGTTTTTGGGGGGAGAGTGTTTGTATTTGAGAACTGGGGGATTTTGAATAGGAATTGCCCTGCACTGACCTACTCAGTCACCTCCTGTGATGAGTGAAGTTCTGCCTTCCAAATGGTACCGTACAGCAGCAGTGCACAACAGTATGTATGAGACCCAGAATAGCAGGACTTCTGTTGTGGTTCCTAGTATCTTCACAGTAGTGTCCCTGTAAATGGAAGGAGGATAGTGAATCGCTGCCCAGGGAGGTTGTGGATGCCCAGTCCTTGGACGTGTTTAAGGCCAGGTTGGACGGGGTCCTGGGCAACCTGATCTGAATGTGTATGTTTGGTGGCCCTGCTAGGCAGGGGGGTTGGAACTACATGATCCTTGGGGTCCCTTCCAACCCGGGTGATTCTGTGATTCTGTGATCTGTGATTCTGTGAATGCTCACTTTGCAGTGTAGATGAAATGATGAATACCCAAAATCAAAGTGATATCTCCTCCATGTGAGGAATTTGGAAAAAAGAGCTCTAAGTATCATTAAATATAGTTGGTGAAATTTGACAGAGGGGAAGGAAAGCCAAACACTGTTCTTCCATTTGTCTTCCGTATTCTGTGCTGTTTTTTCTGAGATATAGTTGCCCTTCACCCTTTGTTAGTCTGATTGCTGGTCCATCATGGCTGCGAGCATCAGGAGGATCCACATAGTGACGATTCCTCTGGCAATACTGTTTTAAGTTTCTTATTTCTTAGACTTAGGCTGTTAGAGTCCCACTTGGGAGAATCCTGCAAAATAAGACTCACCTGTAAGGAGATGTTGGCACCTTGGGGGAGCACTTAAAATCCATCTGTCTCTAGTTGAAATACGTGAGGCATTGGGATCATATCTGAGTGGGCAATTGGGTATTTGTCTCTTCCCCACCCCAGGAAGGCCAAAATGAGATGCTTATCACCACGCTGCTGATGGCACACGCCTCTGGTAGCGCTCATCCATGAAAACACACATAGGCAGGCAAAGTTGGTATACTGACATTTCTCCCCCTGGGCTGTCGTTTCGTCACAAGACGGGTTAAAGAGTGCTGAAGCCAGAGGGTAACTACCTTTTCTGACAAGTTTTTAGGAACTGGTGATTTGTTCTAGTTTTACACTGCCTTGGAAGTGTAAGTAAAAGGCAATATTTTTCTTTGAAGAGGAGATCCCTCTGAAAATGTGGTGCTTCAGACTTCTCTTTAAAGAATTGTTTTCTAAACCATTATATCTCCATGCCATACTAGACAACCTCCACAGAAAACTATCGTAAAAGCCATTCCAGTGAGCCATGACAAGCATGGTACAGAGACTGGAGCATTCAGGCTCTTTCCTCCATCATGCCTGCAGTTGGACACCTGCATGCAGAGTACGGACTTTGGAATGCTGTTTATAGCATGCTCTTTTCTTAAGAGCACATTCTTAAGCATGTGCTTATAGACATGCATTTCTCCCTCTCTGTCACAGCTCTAAGTGAATAAAAATGTTACAGACACAAACTAAGACTCCACTCACTCTTTTATATAAAAAAAAAAATCCCAAGTTGTTCTTTTGTGTTTTTTTTTTCCTTAATCCTAAGGATCCTACAGCATCCATTCAGCTTTTTTTTTCTCATTTCACACATTTCTCCATAGAGTGAGAGTTTTCAGCAGTGGAGGGATGAGAGAGCCGAACTAACTGGAGGATATTCCTAAGCCTGAAAAATAGCTCCAAGATTAAGTAAACAAGAAGTGTCATTGGCTGGTTTGGTGAATTGGTGAAGCAGATTTAATTTCAGGACATCATTTTAGTTTTTCATAACACCTCGCAGAATATAATTTGTGGACAAGTATAAAATAAGCACAATATAACACCTAGGTAAACTGCATGCTCCACCTATTTCCAAGCTGTTATTACTGCTGAAATGTTATTACTGGCATCTGAGCTGAGCCTACCAATTTTTCTTCTACTTTGTTTAGCTGAAATTTTATCAGTCTCACAGCAATCCTGGATGTTTTCCACATTCATGGAATCACAGAATGGTTTGATTTGGAAGGGACCTCACACCCACTTCCAGCCCCTTTGCTGTGGGCAGGGCTGTCAGCCACTAGTTTAAGTTGCCCAAGATCTGATCCAACCTGGCCTTGAACACCTTCAAGGATGGGGCATCCACAGCTTCTCTGGGCAACCTGTCCCAGTGCCTTACCACCCTCTGCCTTACCACTTCCTTCTGACATCAAACTTAAATTTCCCTTCTTTTAACTTAAAAACATTTAATCTGTGCTGAGCAATCTTGTCCCACTTTGTTAGCCAGCAATAATTGATTTCAACTTAGATTTTTGCTTTGTTTATAGAATCACAGAATGGCCCGGGTTGGAAGGGGCCTCAAGGATCACGAATCTCCCACCCCCTGCCATAGGCAGGGCCACAAGCCTCCACATTTCACAGCAGCCCAGGCTGCCCAGGGCCCCATCCAACCTGGCCTTGAACACCTCTAGGGATGGACAGGGCATCCACAGCCTCTCTGGGCAGCTGTTCCAGCACCTCACTACTCTCTCTGTGAAGAACTTCCCCCTGACATCCAACCTAAATCTTCCCTCCCTCAACTTAAAACCATTTTCCCTTGTCCTGCCATTATCTACCCTTTCCAAGAATTGACTCCCCTCCTGTTTGTAGGCTCCCTTTAGGGACTGAAGGCTGCAATGAGGTCACCCCGCAGCCTTCTCTTCTCCAGGTTGAACAAGCCCAGCTCCCTCAGCCTGTCCTCGTAGGGGAGGTGCTCCGGCACCCTGATCATCTCTGTGGCTCTCCTCTGGACCCTCTCCAACAGTTCCCTGTCTTTCTTGTTCTGGGGGCTCCAGGCCTGGACACAGCACTGCAAATGGGGCCTCACAAGAGCAGAGCAGAGGGGGACAATCACCTCCCTGTCCCTGCTGCCACTCCTCTTCTGATAGAGCCCAGGATCCCATTTGCTTTCTGAGCTGCAATGCACACTGCTGGCTCATGTTAAGCTTTTCATCCATCAAGACCCTCAGGTCCTTCTCTGCAGGGCTGCTCTCAAGGACTGCTCCTTCCAGTCTGTATGGATGCCTGGGATTCCTCCAGCCCAAATGCAAAACTCTGTACTTTGCTGTGCTGAACCTCATCAGGTTCACCCTGCCCACCTTTCCAGCCTGTCGAGGTCCCTCTGCATGGCATCCCTTCCTTCCATTCAGCTTGGTGTCGTCAGCAAATGCTGAGGGTGCACTCAATTCCACCATCGCTGTCACTGATGAAGATTTTGAAGAGCACCGGTCCCAACACAGAGCCCTGGGGGACGTCGCTCGTTACCGGCCTCCACCTGGACACAGAGCCATTGATGACCACCCTCTGTCTGCGGCCTTTTATCCAATTCCTTATCCATCAGGTGGTCCAGCCATCAAATACACATCCCTCCAATTTGGAGATAAGGATGTGGTGAGGGACCATGTCAAAGGCCTTGCTCAAGTCCAGCTAAATGACATCGGTTGCCTTTCCCTTGTCCACCAATGCTGTCACTCCATCACAGCAGGCCACCAGATTGGTCAAGCATGATCTTCCCCTGGTGAAGCCGTGCTGGCTATCTTGGATCACACGCTCATTCCTCATGTGATCAAGCATGTCATCCAGGAGGATCTGTTCCATGATCTTCCTAGGCACAGAGGTGAGACTCACAAGCCTGTAGTTCCCCGGGTCCTCCTTGCTCCATTTATTGTAAATGGGAGTGACGTGACCCTTCCTGCAGTCATCCAGGTCCTCACCTGACAGCCGCGACTTTTCAGATATGATGGAGAGCGGCTCAGGAAACACCTCAGCCAGCTCTTTCAGAGCCCTGGGATGCAGCCATCCAGCCCATAGACTTGTACACATTCAGTCTCATCAGGGGGTCTCAGACTTCCTCTGCCCTCACAGTGGGGAGGGATTTACCACCCTGGTCCCCACCTGGAGGTTTAGGGATGCAGGGCTCAGGGACGTGAGAAATACTGTAATCCTGGCCACCAGTGAAGACTGAAGCAAAGAACTCATTCAGTACAGTTTACTCTGTGGCCATATTCCTCCTTAAAGGGAAATGCTCTGTTTGAGATGTATTCTGATGTACAGGAACATACAGTATGCTACAGAACACTCTGTGATGTCCTTTTTGTCAGAGAAGACTTTCCACCTCAGTCATGAGCTGCAGTCCATCTGGGATCTCAAGCCTCTCCTTTCTGTATTGCAACAGTTCTTCTGTCTGGAGAGCAGAGCAGGGCTCCGTTTCAACTGGTATTTGGTTGTGACATTAGTGCCCTTTGTTTCACTAACTTATTTCTACACCGTGCAAAACTGAAATGTTTTGGTGAAATCTCAGTAAGTGAAGGTAGTCCTGCACTGGGATGGGAGGAATTTAGTTTCCTGTCCTTACTCCTATGAACATGTGGAGAAGACTTCTCTGAGTGTGCAGAGCACAGGCACACTTTCTTCAGCCCTGCAGGAATGTGGCTTCTACCTGCTGCTGTTGTTGATGCCTTTTCTCTCTTGTTATTTCAGGGTCACAGCAACCTGGAGTGCCATATTACACAGACCCAGGCGGACCTGTGATGAATCCCATGGCGATGGCTTTCCATGTCCAGCCCAATTCCCCCCAAGGAAACCCGGTTTACCCTCCTCCACCTTCCTACTGCAACACACCACCTCCTCCGTATGAGCAGGTGGTGAAATCCTCCACATGAGGACTCTGTGGCTCTGACCTGACTCTGGGAGAAGAAGGTGCCATTGCAAAACAACCAGGATGGTGGGTGGGCATCTGCCCCTTTGAACATTTGCTAGCTTTCCATGTCCTCTCTCCCTTCCTATCTTGCACCTTTCCTCATTAAATTTCCTTGCAAAGGGGTGATTTTTTTGCAGTAGAAGTGGATTTTTTCTTTGTCTTTAAAATGAAATAAGTTGTCTTTGTAATGCTTTTAATGGAAATCTATATTTAAAACCTGTATGTCTTTCTCTTTATTTATTGTTTGTTTGACCCACAGTTGTAATTACATTGTGGCAGACAACTGGTAGCAGTTCCTTGTGCCACCCCAGATTGATGTGCATTCTCCTAAAATGGAGGAAACGTCTTCACTTAGGGAAAATTACAGAGAAAGAGGGTAAAAATAGAAAAGGTCTTTTGCCAGAAATGGTAGCCCTATCTTTTTTGCTTACGGTTTTCTTGTAAGACTCAGTTCTGACGCACACCACAGAGGCTCTGTGATAGAAGCCGCTGAGTGGCTGGGACACCGATGTTCACTGGGTCATGGAAGAAACTTTGCCAAGTGCCCCTAGGAATGGGGATTCAGTGCTTTAAATGGTGCACTTGAAAGTGGAGGACCGTGAGCTGAGTGTTCTGGTTCTTTCATGGAACAGATCCTCCTGGACAACATGCTCGGTCACATAAAGAATGAGCATGTGATCTGAGACAGCCAGCACGGCTTCACCAAAGGAAGGTCATGCCTAACTAATCTTGTGGCCTTCTATGATGGAGTGACGGCATTGGTGGACGAAGGGAAGGCGACCGATGTCATTTACCTGGACCTGAGCAAGGCCTTTGACATGGTCCCCCACCACATCCTCATCTCCAAATTGGAGGGAAGTGGATTTGATGGGTGGACGACCCGATGGATGAGCAATTGGTTGAAAGGCCGCAGACAGAGGGTGGTGGTCAATGGCTCTATGTCCAGGTGGAGGCCGGTAACAAGTGGTGTCCCCCAAGGGTCTGTCTTGGGACCGGTGCTCTTTAACATCTTTATTAATGACATCGATGAGGGAATTGAGTGCACCCTCAGCAAGTTTGCTGACGACACCAAGCTGAGTGGTGCAGTTGATACGGTGCAAGGAAGGGATGCCATTCAGAGGGACCTCGACAGGCTGGAGGGCTGGGCTCGGGTGAACCTGATGAGGTTCAACACGGCAAAGTGCAAGGTTTTGCATTTGGGCCGGAAGAACCCCAGGCACCTGTACAGGCTGGGAGGAGTGGTCCTTGAGAGCAGCTCGGCAGAGAAGGACCTGGGGGTCCTGATGGACGAGAGACTGAATATGAGCCAGCAGTGCGCTCTGGCAGCTCGAAAGGCAAATGGGATCCTGGGCTCCATCAGGAGAGGGGTGGCCAGCAGGGACAGGGAGGTGATTGTCCCTCTCTACTCGGCTCTTGTGAGGCCCCATCTGGAGTACTGTGTCCAGGTGTGGAGCCCTCAGTACAAGAAAGACATTGAGATTTTGGAAAGGGTCCAGAGGAGGGCGACTAAGATGATCAGGGGGCTGGAGCACCTCCCCTATGAGGACAGGCTGAGGGAGTTGGGCTTGTTCAGCCTGGAGAAGAGAAGGCTGCGGGGCGACCTCATTGCAGCCTATCAATACCTGAAGGGAACCTACACCCAGGAGGGGAGTAAACTCTTCAAAAGGGCTGATAACAGCAGGACTAGGGGAAATGGTTTTAAGTTGAAGGAGGGAAGATTTAGGTTGGATGTTAGGGGGAAGTTCTTTACTAGGAGAGTGGTTAGGCCCTGGAACGGGCTGCCCAGGGAGGTTGTGGATGCCCCGTCCTTGGACGTGTTCAAGGCCAGGTTGGACGGGGTCCTGGGCAACCTGATCTGAATGTGTATGTTTGGTGGCCCTGCTAGGCAGGGGGGTTGGAACTACATGATCCTTGGGGTCCCTTCCAACCCGGGTGATTCTGTGATTCTGTGATTCTGTGATTCTGTGAGCTCGTGCCTCCAGGTACGCAGTCATCACATTTCCTCCTGAAGGATGAGCAAACGCAATTTCTTAGACATGGCCACAGGCCTGGTCTCATTTTTGGTACTGTTTTCATTTGAGTTTCCAGGTGCTGGCTCGTGCTCTGCATCACCTGGACAATCCCTGCTCTTTGGTGTTATTTTTAACTTCCATGAGTTAACTGGTAGGAGCCTCCACATCACATAGCAGAAGTGCTTCCTGTAGAACCACAGCATGTCAGTGTTGAGCTGTGAAGCTCTGTTACTTGCAGTATGGAGGGAGCAATGCCACAAACTTGCTCATCTTGCTCATCAGTGTTGCTTGGCTGGAGAAATGGGTTGTGTTGGTGGACACGTGCATGTAGGTGCTGCTCCCAGCATGGGAGTTAGCTCATTTCTTGAGTATCATCCCAGTCATTTCTTGGTCCAATCTTTATCCAAAGATAGGTGTGCAGGCAGCTTGAGCTCTGTTTTGGGTTGCTAAATGCACCACCTCATGGCACTAAGAGCTGACTTTGGACAGGAACACACGAGGCCCCTAGATCAGCCTGTGCTCACCCTGCACCGTGCCATTTTGCTGCAGTTGTGACCTCCGCTTTCTGCTGACATCTGCAAGTTTTCAAATGGAATGTATAGAGTTACAATTAGATACTCCACCCAGTGATCTGATTGTGTCTCTTTACCAGACCTTCATAAACCCTCTCGGAGAAGAAAGAAACAACCTCTGCTTCAAGTCATGTTTTATTAATATCATTGCTTTTGGCAGTACATACATTTCTTAGCAATTTTTCCTAAGAATGAAGCACAGGGAAAGTAAAATTTCATCAAAAATCTCTGATGAACACCTTGAAAACTCACTAAGAGTGGCAGCCACTGCCACTGAACCAGACAGTGCATTAGTTTCACAACAACAAGGTTGGACATCCCGCTGGTTTTATGGCTTTGTTGCTCTCTCTTTTTAATGTTTTAGCAAACAAACAAAAAGTTTGCTTGGTTTCTGCTTGGTATAGCCTTGGGCTAGACCATCTTACACTACCGTGCATTGCTGCTGATGAGCTTCCCACCAGCAGGTTTGATGCCGTGAAACTTCCCCTCAGCCGCCTCTGCTGGACTGAACCAGCCCAGCTCCTTCCTTCTCCCTTACACGCTGTTATCCTGGCAGCTCTTTGGATCCACACTAGTTTATCAGCAACCATTCTGAAATGAGAGGCCCCAAATTTGGACACAGAAATCCTGGGGCAGACTCACCAGCACTAACGGTATGGTCTGCCTTATTCATGAGGTGAGCACGGTGCTGGCTCTCATTTAGTATGGCATCCACTGTAACGCCTGGGTTTTCAGTAGATTTCTTACTCGTCAGACCTTTTCCATGTATCCTGTACCCATGAGTGGTATTCTATTTTTTTATCCCTCTCCAACCCAGGTGTTGTCAGTTGGGCCCTGCAAGAGCCCAAGTGGGAAAAAGAAACAGTGCCTAGTTCTCTACAAAGAGTTAGTGCAACAAGAGGATGTTATGAACACATCAGATACACACCATACTTACGTACATTATACTAGTGTTCTAAAACTACTTAATCCTCTCCCAGAACATGAACATTCTGAGGGTAGAGGCCATGGGAGCCTGATCCTGCAGCTCTTTTTTTTTTTGCAGTAAGTTCTATGAAAGAAAAAGTGTAAAGGTTGGAATCCCACAGATTCCAGATGAACCTTTCCTTTATTCCAATCTTTTTCCTTACAGTATGCCCAGGTAGTTCCAGACACACATCCTGCACATTAGCAGCTTGCTAGTGTTACTCAGAATCCAGCTTAATTTCCTGCTGACATTCACAAGTCTTCAAAATATAGAAAGACATTCTTTCGGAATCCTGCTACTGTCTGTTAAAATATATTCTTAAAAGGAAAATATGTGAAATGCTAATCTACCTTTTCTTTTTTTTCATAGAGATTATGTAAAGTTTCTTAATTACATTCTGCATGTTCGAAACTAAACTTCCAGTAGCAGGTAGCATTATTACTTAATAGAAAAAGAGCAGGATCAAAGGACTTTTACTGAGAAAAATCAGCTAACAGCTGTATAAGGATCAAGGTTTTACAGATGCAATAGTACATATATCTTGGAAGAAGTGTTCCTAACAGTTCTTCTTTAATGAAACTGGTAACCTGTTTCCTTTAACTATTTTGGTTATAAATCAAGCCAAAACACTGGCATAAGAAAAAATACATTTTAAATGGGAAAGAAACATACGTTGCTGAACTTAAAAGGAAAAAGGGAGGAGGAGAGGAGGAGAAGGAGAGGAGAGGGGAGGAGGAAAATCCTGGAGAAGCCTGAAGGGAGACCTCACTGTGGCCTTTCAATATTTAAAAGCTTATAAACAGGAGGTGAAATAAACCTTCCACACTAGTAGAAGTGATGAGGCCAGAGGAAACGGTTTTACACTAAAAGAAGGGAGATTTATGTTAGATGTCAGGGGAAATGGTTCAGTAAGAGGGTGGTGATGTGCAGGAATAGGCTGCCCAAAGGAATTGTGGATGTCCGCTCCCTGGAGGCGTTGAAGGCCCAGTTGATTCTAGTGTCTGATTTAGTGGTTGGCACCCTGTCCGGAGCACAGGGGTATGGATGCTTTCAACCTAAAACATTCTGTAATTCTATGAAAATAGAGTAGAAATTTTAACTTCTTCCTCTTTAAATAGCTTTGAATTTATTTTTCTAACAGCACCAATGATAAATGAAGAAATTATAAATAATCTCTTTAAAATATGAAACAAGTTATTGGAGCAGAACCTCTGAAAAAAGATAGGGGACATTTTACATCTCTTTGGAATAACGGAATTTTTGGAAGTCGAACAAAAAAATTCTTAGAACCTGGAATGTGGTATTCATTTTCCTGACACATCTCTCTTACGATTAGGTGATAATAAAAGCTTGAGGAAAGAGCATCACAGGGACTTACTTCCGAACTGAACTGTTACATATGGTTTATAGAACTGGTGAGCAGCGCTAAGTACTTCTTTTTACTTTCACATTTACATTTGTGGAGGAGCAGCAGTGGTTGAACACAGGTCACTGATGCAAACTGCAGCTGCTCTACTGGGTGCAGACAGAACTCCCGCCCCTGTAAATCAACGTGAAACAAACAGGAAAATGCCAATGCAATGCCACTAGGAGAAAGTGGCTGCTTTGTTGAGCGCCACACCAGCACAGGGCTCAGGCAGTGCTGCTCAGCCATAGCCTGTGCTGCAGCTG